CAATGCTTCCCTTTACAGCGAAGGAGGTAAACGCACTGGTACTCGCCCTGCCGCTCTTCATGCACACCCTGCCGGGTCGGGAGGGGGGGGCGTCTCTTGCGTTGCGTTGGCGAGCCAGCAAAGTTGATCGTGTGGCGAGCGTGGGCTTGTTTTTCTGTGCGTTATGATTGAATGACAAGCTTGCGGTAGGTAGTGGGAGTGTTTCGTGGTGGTGTTGTTGGTGTCGCTGCCGTTGTGCTGTTTTTGTGTGATGTCTCCCAATTGCTTTGTTTAATCGGCGTTGGGTGCAAGTCGATCTCGGCAGTCTTCATGTTTATGTGCCACTGGGTTCTTCCGTAAGGCTGATGTAGATGCAGAGCAACAACTGCAATTTCACATTCAGTTGGTAGCACGTGTTTTAGTTATTGGCCAGTTTGTTTTCCATTAGGCTGATAATAAATGCTGCTGGATAATATTGTCCTGGAAAGCCAATAGCCCAATTACTTAAAATATATTATTCATACATTGAGACACAGAACAAAGGTATGCGTATAATGGTTGGGTAGTTTCGTGGTTGGAATCTGTTTCTAAATGAGTCTGAGTTGGATTCTTCATCTTTCGTATGGCTGATGTAGATGCAGAGCAACAACTACAATTTCATATTCAGGTTGTCAAGTCTAGATAACCGCGTCAGGAGCAGCGGAGTGTATCATCGCTGTGATGTCTCCTTCGTATTTGTGAATCGAGCATCGCGTCATTTTCCGTTGCACGGTCTGTTCTGGATGACCACAGTTGCACACCGGATAGTTTATAATGTTTCCATTTTGTGCCTCAGGTATCCGCATCTGCCATGGTTTGTCTGGATCTGGTTTAGGATGAACTGTGAGCTTTGTGGAAGGTCAAACCCACCGGGTAATCCTTGCCTTGTCTCGAGGTGGAATTTGCATGTACACGTACATTTGTGTGTGCAATGTGCGTATCTGAAGAAAAAAGCACGTATCTTTGAACGTTTTTACGCAACGTGGTTATCTCTCTCAATAGTACAGTATTTTGTGTGGGTGTGATCATGTGTACAAACAGTATAGGCTGTGAGTGTGTTGCATCTGAGGGTAAGGATGCATTTGAGGCACATATGGGGGATTGAATTTAATTTCAGCTGTACAATTATGGAAATGCTTGCACCGTCATCAGAGATTCCATCATTCAGCAATAGATTGAGAATAGATATTTGATTAAAATATGTAGCAGGTGTACAAATATGCATCAACATTAATATATACAGTGAGGGAAAACAGTATTTGATCCCCTGCTGATTTTGTACGTTTGACCACTGACAAAGAAATGATCAGTCTATAATTTTAATGGTAGGTTTATTTCAACAGTGAGATTGTAGACCTACACAAGGCTGGAATGGGCTACAAGACCATTGCAAAGCAGCTTGGTGAGAAGGTGACAACAGTTGGTGCGATTATTCGCAAATGGAAGAAACACAAAAGAACTGTCAATCTCCCTCGGCCTGGGGCTCCATGCAAGTTCTCACCTCGTGGAGTTGCAATGATCATGAGAACGGTGAGGAATCGGCCCAAAACTACACGGGAGGATCTTGTCAAAGATCTCAAGGCAGCTGGGACCATAGTCACCAAGAAAACAATTGGTAACACACTACGCCGTGAAGGACTGAAATCCTGCAGCGCCCGCAAGGTCCCCCTGCTCAAGAAAGCACATATACATGCCCGTCTGAAGTTTGCCAATGAACATCTGAATGATTCAGAGGACAACTGGGTGAAAGTGTTGTGGTCAGATGAGACCAAAATGGAGCTCTTTGGCATCAACTCAACTCGCTGTGTTTGGAGGAGGAGGAATGCTGCCTATGACTCCAAGAACACCATTTCCACCGTCAAACATGGAGGTGGAAACAATATGCTTTGGGGGTGTTTTTCTGCTAAGGGGACAGGAAAACTTCACCGCATCAAAGGGATGATGGACGGGGCCATGTACCGTCAAATCTTGGGTGAGAACCTCCTTCCCTCAGCCAGGGCATTGAAAATGGGTCGTGGATGGGTATTCCCACTGACAAAGAAATTATCAGTCTATAATTTTAATGGTAGGTTTATTTGAATGGTGAGAGACAGAATAACAACAACAAAAATCCAGAAAAACGCTTGTCAAAAATGTTATAAATTGATTTGCATTTAAATGAGGGAAATAAGTATTAGACCCCTCTGCAAAACATGAGTTAGTACTTGGTGGCAAAACCCTTGTTGGCAATCACAGGGGTCAGACGTTTCTTGTAGTTGGCCACCAGGTTTGCACACATCTCAGGAGGGATTTTGACCCACTCCTCTTTGAAGATCTTCTCCAAGTCATTAAGGTTTCAAGGCTGACGTTTGGCAACTCGAACCTTCAGCTCCCTCCACAGATTTTCTATGGGATTAAGGTCTGGAGACTCCAGGACCTTAATATGCTTCTTCTTGAGCCACTCCTTTGTTGCCTTGGCCGTGTGTTTTGGGTCATTGTCATGCTGGAATACCCATCCACGACCCATTTTCAATGCCCTGGCTGAGGGAAGGAGGTTCTCACCCAAGATTTGACGGTACATGGCCCCGTCCATCGTCCCTTTGATGCGGTGAAGTTGTCCTGTCCCCTTAGCAGAAAAACACCCCAACAGCATAATGTTTCCACCTCCATGTTTCACGGTGGGGATGGTGTTCTTGGGGTCATAGGCAGCATTCCTCCTCCAAACACGGCGAGTTGAAATTGATGCCAAAGAGCTCCATTTTGGTTTCATCTGACCACAATATTTTCACCCAGTTGTCCTCTGAATCATTCAGATGTTCATTAGCAAACTTCAGACGGGCATGTAATATGTGCTTTCTTGAGCACGGGGACCTTGCGGGCGCTGCAGGTTTTCAGTCCTTCACGGCGTAGTGTGTTACCAATTGTTTTCTTGGTGACTATGGTCCCAGCTGTCTTGAGATCATTGACAAGATCCTCCCGTGTAGTTCTGGGCAGATTCCTCACCGTTCTCATGATCATTGCAACTCCACGAGGTGAGATCTTGCATGGAGCCCCAGGCCGAGGGAGATTGACAGTTCTTTTGTGTTTCTTCCATTTGCGAATGATCGCACCAACTGTTGCCACCTTCTCACCAAGCTGCTTGGTAATGGTCTTGTAGCTCATTCCAGCCTTGTGTAGGTCTACAATCTTGTCCCTGACATCCTTGGAGAGCTCTTTGGTCTTGGCCATGGTGGAGAGTTTGGAATCTGATTGATTGATTGCTTCTGTGGACAGGTGTCTTTTATACAGGTAACAAGTTGAGATTAGGAACACTCCCTTTAAGAGTGTGCTCCTAATCTCAGCTCGTCACCTGTATAAAAGACACCTGGGAGCCAGAAATCTTCTGATTGAGAGGGGGTCAAATACTTATTTCCCTCATTAAAATGCAAATCAATTTATAACATTTTTGACATGCGTTTTTCGTGATTTTTGTGTTGTTATTCTGTCTCTCACTGTTCAAATAAACCTACCATTAAAATTATAGACTGATCATTTCTTTGTCAGTGGACAAACGTACAAAATCAGCAGGGGATCAAATACTTTTTTCCCTCACTGTACATTCCATAAACTATGTCCGATGGCCTGAAATTTATGATTGTGATGAAATATGAACACTGGGGCAGTTATCGTCTATCCTGCGCCGATGTTTAAAACTCTAACCCACGTACTAATTTCAGTCTGTGTCAGTTTAGAGGACAGAGAAGTAAGGCTGAGTTTTTCGTTGCCGCCGGCTTTTGTGGTGAATGGCCAGGTATCGAACCGCAGGCCTGTTGAGATTGTAGCGCAGTGCCATATCCCAGGCTTTCTGAAATACGTCCGTTTGTGCCCCTCTGTAGTGCAGGTATCTTATTTTGATCAGGCACCAGGTGTGCGAGTCATGTAAACATTGAATGTGGATTTGATTGGATAAGGTTGGTACATTTGAATAAGTTTACTGCGAAGGGAGCATGAGTATTGGGAGTTGCAGACATGCCAGGAAGCAATCACTGGCCCATCACTCAGAAACTCTTGAGACGTAACACAGCTGCTGTTTAGCCTTACAGGTTGGTAGTGTTCTATAAGAGATGGTGTCGTCAGCACAATTCCTTCCTGCCACAGGTACATACTGAAAGTTGAAACTCGCGTACCGTGTCAGGTACCTGTTCAAGCTTGAGCCAGCAAATGGGAGGCCCTGGCTCGGTTCAGATACGATCTTCGACCGGTGTTGTTCATGGCCTACAATCATACTTGCATTGCCAGCAGCATGTACCGCATATCGTAAACCACTGTTCCACCACTGTAGACAACTTGTGCACACAGTATTAAACTGCCCCCCCCCACATGATCCATACTGTCAACTAACCTCCCATGTTCCAAGTCCAGGCTTAAGTCTTCCTTTTTCCTCTGCCAATAACTTCCTCTCCAATCTACCTCACTATATTTCTGTACAGCATCTTGAGATGCGGTCACATTTAGATGCTGTATAAATCCAAATTGCTCTGTCTTGTAAGCGTACGCTCATAAGCCAGGACCAATTCTGATTACAGGTCCCAAGTTGCTGTAGAACACTGTCACGACCCAGGTCATCATACCTGTGTTGGCAATATAATGAACACTGTTCTGCGAGAAGTTTACAGGATTCATACTGGACAGTGCATATTATTATCAGAGTTGTCTTTTTTGTTTGCATTTTGACTGCTTGTGTTGTGGTTATTGCAAACATGATGCCTTGAATAAAGGTGTCAGTTTTTGTGCCAGTTAAAAAGGGTAAAACCTATTTCTATAGGATTCATACTTTAAAGACATTTGCCCATCACTAAAGGACTATAGAACATCTTCTAACTGGCCTTAGGGCTGTCAGCGGAGGTGAATGCCATCGTGAAACTTGTTTGCACACAAAGACACCTCACCTGGCTTCCACGAAGCGTCTTCCTTTAATCTCGAGGTTTTCGCTAATGTTCCCATTGCCATTTTGTGTCTTTCAGAAGGAGCTGAGTCTGCCAAGGCGGGGAAGCTTGTGAGTACAACCGCCACGTCTCTCCTACAACGCCCTCCCTTCACAATTGCTGCCCTTTCTTAGGGCATCTCTATCTGACCCTTTGTGTTTTCTCTCTCTCTCTCTCTGTCAGTCTTCTTCTTCCTCCTCCTCCTGCGTTTGCTATCGCAGATCAATATCCAAACCACTCAACCGCCCGCCTTTTACATCCTCGAGTTCAATCTACCTTTTTTGTGTGCCATCTTATGTTTGCCCCAAGGGGAATTCCTGGGCAATGATTGTCAGTGAGGTCGCATCCTGCACATCCATGCTGTCCATCAAATTCGCGAGCGGCCACCTTTTAGATCGGTGTTTTAGTTCAGCAGTGGCAACCATTTGCTGTGTGGCTAAGGCAGAGCATCGCAAATGTGTTTTTTTGTTGCCTGAAGATGGACACGACAGAATGCGCACGGGATTGAAAATTCGTTGTGATTGCCTTTCCCCATTTTAGACATTAATTATTTTATCCGATTAGGGCACGCGGGGGCGTGATTTCCAGACCACCGTGAGAGCTGCCAGTTTATTGCGTAAACTTCTTCTTCACCAAATTTCATTTGGCACAGAATAGCACTGCCTCGGGCACTCATCGGAACTCAAAAAGGAGGCCACGTTTTGCCTCTACAAAATGCCGCACACTCGCGAGCACTTCTCGTCAAAATACCACACGGCGCTGCCCGTGCACACCTCTTCAAGTCTCGTATTTGTCCCTCTTCCTGTTGATGTATTTTGAACTTCTTTCGCACCGTAACGTAGCCAACCGTGCTAATTGGAGGTGCTTTCTCTGCAAAAAATGCAGCCCGCCGCCCGCCTCGCTCATCATCTTCAGCCAGTCCGATCCGGGTGGGAGCTCACACACACTGCCCCTGCTCTGGATGTCTCAAGAGGCCTTCAGTTCTTCTTGTCTATTGTTATGATTGGTTTCCTCGGAATCGGAAGACCTGCGTCTTTTTTATGATCACCTTTTAACTTCTGTGAAATATCCATTAATCGCCTGCTGGCTGTTTTTTCTATGTGTTTATAATTGGTGATATGGTAAATTTCATCTCCCTCGCCTCATACGCAGGAGGTCGTGGGTTCGATCCCGACACTGACGATGCCTGTATAGTTGGAGTTCACATGTTCTCTCTCTTTCTCCCTGTGGTTGTCTGGATTATTCTCCAGATTCTCCGGTTTTGCCCTCCCCTTTTCCGAATGTGTTCAGATTATTTGGCTGCTACTGTAAATTCCCACATTACGATATTAGCCACTTTATGAGCTATCAAATGTGGCCAGGTCACATCTGAAATACAGATAATAGCCCAGTGGGCTTTACTTAATATTTTTTTAAAATATGTATTTCAGTCTCTTCTCAAAGCTTACGCCTATGACTGTGAACACTTTTCCTTGTCTGCAACATGCAAACATACTATGTTGACGTAGCTGTATTCATTTTCTTGCTTGAATGTGTAACGTGTAAGACATGAATTTTCATCACACAGCACACTTCTCAACATTGCATTGTCATCTCATCAATACACGCATTATTGATGTAGTGCAAAGCATTCTATAGAGGCACGTAATTCCTTATGTGCATCGTAACCCACCATTTTTATGGTGCAACCTCTAAATAGCTCGGACGGCTGCAGCCTTACGAGCCTGGCCTTGAGAGCCAGAATGCTACACCATATATAATGGCATAACAGCAACCCGGGAAAAAAGCTCATTCATGTTTTGTCCGAGTGAAGTCTCCGGTCGTCGTTAGCTGTGTGGGAGCATGAACCTCCTGCAAAATCCTCCCGTGCTGTGAAACTTTGCAATGATTTAAATGGTCCCTGACCGTATCCACCCAGCTCGGCTCAAACGCCGTGCGGCGCTGCAAGGTAAAACGGCATGAAAACGTGAATGCCGGCGACCTTGCTCGGCGATGAGGTCACTCGCCCACAAGCGCACGCTGCCTTTTGTGACACTTGTTCCTGAGGGCGGTCAACACGGTGGTGAGATGGAGGCAGTGGCCGGCACACGGGGTTTAATTAAAAGTAATAAAATTGTTGTGTCAGTCGATGTAAACTCTAGGCACGATGCCCGGCTTCTGCCACGATCTGCCAATGCCAGTCTTTGCGGCTGTTTATGCCGGCGGGTGAGATCAGCCTGCAGGTGTCTGTGGTCTGACTTGCGCGCTGTCCTGGGTTTCCCCACGCTGCTGCGTGGCACATTTTTCACGTCGATTTCGTTTTGTGGTGCGATACTCGGCAGCTAAAATGTGGCTGGTGTGCATCTCGAAGTGCAGTTCATGTATAACCGAATGAATCGCCCTCCACAGTGGGTGCACATCTCGCTGATCGCGTAGCATGCGCGCTGTCTTCGTGTCATGGCGCAGACTGAGCCACATTAAGTGCATCGTAAAACCTTTAAGAGTGCAGAGCAATTATGGGATTATCATAGCAATATCATGCAACTGTGTTCGCGCTATTTCTGTATTGTATATTTTTTTACCTTAATTAGTAGAGGGAGATGCTTTACCCAGACAGAGAATCGAGTAATGTAATTTGTTAGTGTTTTCTATTTAGCCCACTGAGCTGGACTCATTTTCAATGAAGTGACCGTCCTGAGATCATTAAACTCTCGCCACTTGAGAACCTGGTTAACCTTGGATGGGTACAAGCGGCTTGGATTCAGGATCTCAGCAGTGCTGGCCAATTGCTTCATTAACATGAATTCTACACGGAAAGTAAACAAGTCACCTGTGTGTACGTTTAGTGGCTCGTGCGGCGTTGGGGCGGGGGGATTGGAGCGCCGAGTCGGGGAAGCGCTCCGTGATTAAACCGGGTTCCCGAGCCTCGTGCATCGATGGTTGTTAAGCCCAGTCATCCATGGAGGGCACTAAAAAGGTGATTAAATAGTTTTTTTGGCACTGAATATGGAAAACTCCAAATGAAAATTCGAAACGTTCGATTGGATAAGGCGTGCAACGGACGCCGTCTTCACGGACTGCAAAAGGTGTGCCGCTCGCGTTTGTTGTTGTAACCTTCTGACCCCGTGCCCCTACTGGACATCTGTGAAAAATTGCTTTTTTGCTCATCGGGTTGCTCCAGTATTAATAAATATTATGATGCTGATAAAGCGACCAATGAAGTGACTTCAGAAGTAGGTGTGCGACGTCGTCTTTTGGTGCCGTTCTCTGACATGCGGTGCGGTTCCCAATAAACAATGTTGTCATCTTGTGGCATAATGCAGATGGATACGGTTGTAATGTTACATAGTATGGGGTCAGGGGAAGCTAAAAAACATTTCCTAGATTCTTAATTGAATTTGCAACCTGCAATTGAAATAGCGCAGCTCTTTCTGCGTCTCGCGATCTCAAGTAGTTGTGGAGAGCGTGGGCGGACAACAACGTTTATGAATCTCTTCCCCCCCGTGAAATGTGTGCAGCGGCGTGGACGTGTCTATTGGGTTGCGTATCGTTAAGATGTTTCCCCGCAAGCTGTGCGGAAAACACCGCGATGCATGCAGTGCGTCGTCGGCAACAGAATACGCCACACGTTTGGTTTCACCGCTCACTGTGGCTTTTCGTCAATTGCACGTCCGTAAAGCAAAACAAAAACACGGTATTGCATATTACATTTTTCTAGTTAAATTTAACTCCCCCCGTGTTTTTTTTAATTCGTGGCATTATTCATTGCTCGTTTGTTCGTGTCCACTGTTTTTACTGCGTCGCACAGCCAAGGTGCGATTGTGATGTTGTCACTGAAGACCCACAGGTGCAGACAGCTTTGCATGCAGTAAACACGCACTTTAGATTCAAAGTGGTTCATTGCACACAACATAGTTAATGTTATATAGTGCCTAGCTCACACGTATATCCTCATTAAAACATATATATGTGTCCCGCATATACAATTTCTGGGACTTCATTGGCAGTGGTGTAATATGGCATGCTGAAAATCACCTGCCAGAGTTGCCTTCAGTAGACACCACCTTATAACCAAGCACATATATATTTACATCCCTTTTGTCAATTCACTGCTGGATGAGGGCCTGCTGACACTGCGCGGGTTGTGGGGTTTATTTGACCGTACTTCACCACGCCGGTCAATGTGTGGTTGGTAAGAGTTAGGAGCGTGGACACGGGCATAGTGCGGTGGTGAGATGTTAACTCCCTCGCCTGGTGTGCAGGAGGTCGTGGGTTCGATCCCGACCCAAACGCCTGCTGTATATTTGGAGTTTGCGCGTTCTCCCCGTGGTGGCGTGGATTTTTCTCTGGGTACTTTGGTTTTTCCCTCCAGACTTAAAAACATGATTTTACAGTACTTGGCTGCTATATATGTCCGCGTAGGAAGCCACTTCCTTCAGCTGCTATTATTTTTGGCCAGGTTGCTTCGGAAAAAAGAGCTATATAGCTCATGGGGGCCTTATCTGGTCAAATTAAAATAGATACATTTTTAGTAATACAACGGATTTTTGCTGAAACTCAACCCTTCCGCCGCTTTGAAGCCAAGCCATCGCAAAAATCGCCGCCCATCGAAACCCAGCGGCGGGTCGAGCGTCGTGCCGTGTAAGCACTCACTGTATGCGGTGCAGTGTGGGTTAATCCCGTTCAGCGCGTTGCTCCCGCGGTCCTTACTACCGGGGGGTGCAGGGGGGCATCTCGCATTACACGGCGCCTCTCCCCCCCTCCACCCTGACAGCGAGCACTCTGCCGCCCAACCATCCGTGGTGTTTTGGGGCCACGATAGGTTAGCCCGAGAGTGCTGGTCATGTTTAATTCATGGAGCCGGCACGAAAGACTTGTCTGGAAGGCCGTCGTCCGCTTGAAAGCCCAGCGAATCTCCACTTCCCCCCAACCTTCCACCACCCATCCTGTTCCCCCATGCTCCTCCCCCACCCCTGTCCACCACCATCTCCCCCCTCTCCTGACACACAATGGCCGAGCTGCGCTTAAAAAATTTAAGCTGGGTTGCATTTCTGTGGGGGGTGGAGAGGGGGGGGCGCAGGTGAGCATGGGT